ACATTCTGCCCAATTCCACAAAAATCTCTGTTGAACTTAGGTCAGAAACACTGAATTTGGGGGAAGAAGTAGCATTATGTATGATTTTTAACTGGGTCTGACATCCTTCAACAATGCTCGTTTTTCTTTATGAAAGTCCCCCTAGACACCCCCCCCCAGACCCTCCCCTGCCCCGTGGTGATTTGATTCAATCTACCTGACAGTTTCTGCGATCCTTACGCACATCTCTGTGTTCTGCTGCGTCTCCTATAGACTGGCTGTTAGTGCCAGTAAACGGGAACAGCCCGGGGTGGCATCTTGTTTTTATCTCTATATTGTAGGTTTTCTGTAGTGTGCAACTTATCTAGGCGTGTGGTATTGTCTGCAACAACATTAATCTGGTTATCTAGTCTCAATTTATCTCGTTTCTTTTTCTTATCCTATTGTTACAGCTGAGATTCCAGTACGGTGCTGAAGAGCAGGAGTCACTGGTGTTTGAAAGGAATCTGAATTTTGTCTTGAAGCATCAGGTTCTGTAGCTCTTCTTCAGTCACAAATTTTAAGATGTATTATTTTTTAACCTACGTATACAAGTCAAGTGAGTCTACAAAAGTTGTTACTAATAAAAATAACCCCTCAATTACCTCCATTTGCTTTTTACCCAATGGAGGCAATTCTTTCCTTTCACCTTAAATTCTTTTTTTTTAAAAAGAGTACATGCCATGTGACTTCATCATCTTTTTTTTTTTTTAAAGATTTATTTATTTATTATGTATACAGTGTTCTGTCTGCACATATCCCTGCAGGCCAGAAGAGGGCACCAGATCTCATTACAGATGGTTGTGAGCTACCCTGTGGTTGCTGGGAATTGAACTCAGGACCTTTGGAAGAGAAAGCAGTGCTCTTAACCTCTGAGCCGTCTCTCCAGCCCCCACTTTAAATTCTTAATTAAAGAAATATCGAATCATATTCAAAACTAGAGAGAGCAGCATAGTTCTGTTTCCATTTCTCAGATGTTGCAGTCATCAGTAGATAGACAATTTGGTTTCATTTATATCTTTTTCCGTTTTTCACCTCGGTATGATTTTGAGGCAAACATCAGACATCATTTTATTGTTAATATCTCAAACATGTGTTTCTAAATATAATGGTGCATGGTACCATCCCTGTATTGGGGCTCTTCAGAGAAACAGTAAGTGGTATGAATGTGGTTATGGAGACAGGAAGAGAAAAGACAGGAGAGGCAGACGGAGTGGAAAGGGAACTGGGGATTTGTAAGACTCAGCTGTATGATCACAGAGGTGGGGAAGTCCCAGCAACTACAGATCTACAGTGAGTGTGTCTAGGAGTGTGTCTTTATAGGAGAGCGGCTCTATAGGAGAGCACTTTCTTAGCATGTATGGGACCCTAGGTCAGATCCCCAGAACTAGAAGAAACAAATAAACAAAACACAACATTGTAACCAAGTGTATTCCGAGCTGGAGATTCAGAATGGTGGTATACTTCTAGTCCAGGCCTGAAGGCGGCAGGATACATTCCAGGCTGAAAGTCTGAGAGGCTGAAACACAAGAGGTATTTTTCCAGTCTGGTCTAACAGTAGGGAAAGATCAGGACCACAATTCAAGCTGTAAGGCACCAACTCATGGCTCTCAACCACCTGTGACTCCAGCTGTTGGGATATCGAAGCCTCTGGCCTCTGAGAGCATCTGTACTCACATGCACATACCCCCCTCAAGACTCACACATATACATATCATTAAAAATAATACATACTTAAAATTTTTAAAGGAACAAGGGATAGACTCATTTTTGTCTTACTACACATTAAAACTCATTTTCAAATAGTAAAATATTAGAAAAGGGATTTTTAAAAATAGTGGACCATGCTAGACAGAAATCCTAGAAATAGTCTCAATAAAAACTTTAAGATTTGATAATTATTTGGGTAATAGACAGCTAACAATGGATTGCTTAATAAACGTAGGAACTGATGTTCCCTGGGAGGAAAAATGAAGTTAGATAATTACTTCACACACTGGAAAAAAAATAAATTCCTAAAGAATTTCAAACCCAAAAGTGAAAAACAGTGCCGGGGCTGAGTGTGGGGGTGGGGCAGTCAGCGCAGGAGGGACCCTCTCTCTTCTGTAAGTAGAGACCATAAAACACAAGAGGTTAAAATGAGAAAAGCCATTAATTAAATCCTAATTAAATTCCCTGTGTAATTAATGACCCCACAAGTTAAGAGATGAGTCAGAGACCATAGCTTATATTTGCAATGTGTGATAATGTATCCATGACCCAGATCAGAACATGCAGAAAGACCTAAGACGTGACAGAATCAAACCGGAAGTTGTACGAAGGGTGTGGACCATTCATAAAAGAGGAAATCAAGACAGGGAAAAGCATGGGAAGATCCTCCAAACCAACGGTAATCAGAGAACTATAAAAACGGAACAAAATGTCATTTCATGCAGATCAAGTTGACAAAAATTAAGAAGTCTAGCCATGAGAAGACAGGAAAGCTTCAATGCAGCTAGTGGAAGAGCCAGTTGAGAGACAAAAATTCAGGATGTGGCTTTATCTCTTTAAAAATCCATTCATATGTGGGGGTGGGGGTGCACGCCTTTAGTTCCAGTACTCAGGAGGCAGAGGCAGGCGGATCCCTGGGAGTCTGAGGCCAGAGTGAGATCCAGAACAGCCAGAGCTACACAGAGAAACCCTGTCTTGAAAAACAAAACAAACAGCAATGAAATCACTCACTGTATGACCCAACAATGCTAGCTATTCACCTGAGAGAAAGTCTTACGAATTAACACAGTAAATAGGAAAAAAAACAAAATAAAATAAAACCAACCCCGGGATGACTTCAATTATGAAAACCAGTTCTGGAAAGATAACAAGTGGTGTACTTTCATATTTAAATACCATGTAGTAATAAAGTCAGTCAGCTAGATTTATACCATGTAGCAACATAGGAACCTCAAAAACTATATAGAATTTAAAAATCAAGATCCAGAGCCAGTTGTGGTAGAACACCTGTAATCCCAGCACCTGGGGGCAGAGGCAGGAGGATCAGGAGTCTGAGGTGAGGTCCCCGCAATAGCTTGTTGGGTAAAGAAACCTGCTGCCAGGATTGGTGACCTAAGAGACTCACAAGGTAGAAGGAGAAAATTGGCTCTCTGAAGTTATTCTCTGAATTCCATGTGTATGTACATGCACACACACCCCTAAACAGTTCAAGGATATCTTTAACTATACAGGCAATTCCAGGTCGACCAGGACTGGTTGAGTCTTTGTCTCAAAAACAAAGCAAAAACATACTCCAACCTCAAGAGAAACAAAACCAAAAAAGCAAGTTCAAAGATGGTGCATATGGTTTGCTATCATTTAAAATATAAATTTGGATGACTCTACTCAAAACAGTGTGGAAATGAATGATTGGAGGCAGCTCTTGATACTCACGTCTGTAATCCCAGCGTTTGGGAGGCTGGGGCAGGCAGACTCTGAGTTGGAGGGGCAGTCTGTTCTACCCAGAGAGATCGTATGTTTTAAAAAAAAGTAAATGATTGGGAGCAAGAAGGCATGCTGTGTGCAGGAAGACCACACTTATGGAAACCTGGGGATAGTCTTTGGAGAAGGTTAATTTTTTTTTTTTTAAATGAAGAGTACTAGAGTCTGTTTGCACAGAAGTCAAATGATCCAACAGAGAGAATGAAAATAATTGGCTCACAAACAGCAAAATTCTGGAAAAAGTGGAAGTTTGGGCAGCAAAGCACAAAAGGTGAAGAATTTGTGAGATATATAGCGGATAAAACAATCTAGAAAAGATGTAAATTGGGTATGTGGGAGGGTGGCTTTGTCAAGGGGGTTGAATCAGCTTTGATCCAAAAAAGCAAGTTAAACGGACCTGCAGTCAGTCACAGACCCTGCTCTCCCTGAGGCTTGGATCATACCATGGCAGCTCCTCATGAATTCTAACCTACCTAGGGAGTCCCAACAGTGTGAAATTCCCAAAGATAAAGTGAATTTCCCAGCTAATGCCATTCGAGGCCAGCTCCAGCGAGCTGTAAACTTTCTCAGGGCCAGGAGATGTGGACTTGTTTATGACCAGCCGCTGCCCCTCAGACAGCTCACCTCACATTGGTGTTGTTGAAGATAATGTATTCGCTTCTGCTGTGGTGCAGCAGAACGCATGCACGCTGCTCTGGTCTGGTCCTGCGCTGCTGATGACTAGCTCTGTAACCTTCTAAATAAGTAACATAATTTCTAAGCGGCTGTGCTTTTGCCTCACAGGGTGGTTAACGCCACCCTTAGCTCATGAAATGTATCCACAGAGAGGCCAGAAGTTCACACTTACCCTGGAGATGCAAACTCTATCCGCTCTGATCACAGCAGAGCTCCCGGGTCTAGCTCCTTCCACCATCCCCTGCCCCGTCCCCTACATCCCTGTCAATCACAAACGTCCTCATTTTTCTTCTTCCTTCAAACATCCAAGTGCCCATCCTAAGATAAATGGCTGTCACATCTTTAGGTTTCTTTGGGACATGCCTCTTAGCCATCCCTGAAGATTTGGTATCTTTCACAACAGGGCGCCCACAGCACTGTTTGGAAGAGAGGCCACTTCTCTCTCTCTCTCTCTCTCTCTCTCTCTCTCTCTCTCACACACACACACACACACACACACACACACACACACACACACACGCAAAAGCATACACACCTATCTCTAGTGCACCTGTCTGGAGAGAGTCGAGATGCTAACGCAGGTGAGTTTGTTTGGTGCTCAGCAGATCCCGGCAGCTGGTGGGGGCTTGGTTCTCCCTTCCGCGTTCCCCGATCCTCCTCCGCCACAGTCCCACCCAGCTCCCCAGCCCCTCCCCTCAGTACCCCTGTCTGAAGGGTGCTACTGAGTCTCGCTCCACCCTCCTCTGCAGGAGCCAACCGACACACAGCAGCTCAGGACTAGGCATCCAAGCGCATAAAAACCCCGCTCTGAGCTGCTGCATCTGCTGGGCTGGTTGGTGCTTGTGTGAGAGCAGAGCGGAGAGAGCGCATAGCTTAGCCGGGTTTCCAGTTCCTGCAGGCAACGCCCATGGTCCTGGACTGCGCCTTCACGGACATCCACTTAGGGACATCCACTCTCTCCACTTTCAGAAAAGTTCGGACAAAGTGAATTGGGTTTGGGTTTGGGAGATGGCAGCTGCTCCCTCTGCTTCCTCTGTGCCCCCTTTCAGAAGCCCCCACCTCCAACCCCCTCCATCCTTCCCACACTGACACCCAGCTCCCAGACTCTCCTTTGCTTTCCCTGATTCCCTGACCTCAGTGGGGTCAGCCATGTCCGCTCTGCTCCCTGCTGGTTTTATTCTCCTCCCTAGCCCTATCTGCTGAGCTGTTTCCAAGTCCTCACCCTGCCGTTCCCCCGCCCTTTCTCTCCACCTCCACAGCTTTCTCTCCTACTCCATTTCATCTTTCCAACTTCTTACTGGCACCCGCACGCAGGGTCCCTCCACCCACCTTCCTAACCTTCTCTCCCCCAAATCCTGACCATGGAGTCTGAGCCTTCTTGGACTGCCACTCCCTCTCCTGGGGGCACTCTGTCTGTCCCCAATGCTACCACACCCTGGCTGGGCAGGGATGAAGAGCTAGCCAAGGTGGAGATTGGGATCCTAGCTACTGTCCTGGTTCTGGCCACAGGGGGCAACCTGGCTGTGCTGTTGGCACTGGGCTTCCAGGGCCGCAAGCGTTCCCGCATGCACCTGTTCGTGCTGCACTTGGCCCTGACGGATCTGGGCGTGGCGCTTTTCCAGGTACTGCCTCAGCTGCTCTGGGATATCACCTACCGCTTCCAGGGCTCTGACACCCTTTGCCGGCTTGTCAAGTACCTGCAGGTGCTCAGCATGTTCGCTTCCACTTACATGCTGCTGGCCATGACGCTGGACCGGTACCTGGCTGTCTGTCACCCCCTTCGTAGCCTCCAGCAGCCCAGCCAGTCCACCTACCCTCTCATTGCGGCTCCCTGGCTGCTGGCTGCCATCCTCAGCCTTCCTCAGATTTTCATTTTTTCTCTGCGAGAGGTCATCCAGGGCTCGGGGGTCCTGGACTGCTGGGCAGAGTTCTACTTTTCTTGGGGGCCACGGGCCTACATCACCTGGACCACTGTGGCCATCTTTGTGCTCCCCGTGGTTGTGCTCACAGCCTGTTACAGCCTCATCTGCTGTGAGATCTACAAGAACCTGAAAGTCAAGACACAGGCTGGCAGAGAGGAAAAAAGTGGCTGGAGGACTTGGGACAAGTCTTCATCTCCGGCCCCTGCTGATGCCACTAGAGGGCTGCCATCCCGGGTCAGCAGCATCAGCACCATCTCCAGAGCAAAGATCCGAACTGTGAAGATGACCTTTGTGATTGTGCTGGCCTACATCGCCTGCTGGGCACCCTTCTTCAGTGTCCAGATGTGGTCTGTGTGGGACGAGAACGCCCCCAATGAAGGCAAGTCTGTGGCTTACGTGAGGTGGGCAAGGAGGACAACCGGGTTAGGATAAGGGTTGCAGTGCCTTCCGGGGCCAGGCAGGACACAAGCGAATGGAGTCACTAAGAACGTTGGTGCTGGTTTGTCTTAGAGCATGCTCTGCTGCTGTAACAAATACCTACCTAACGCTTAAAGAAGTTTATTTCTCACTGTCCTAGAAGCTGGGATGTCTGGGAGGGCTCTTCTTGTAAGTGGGGACTCTTGGAAGATTTCCAGGGTGGGGAAGGAGATCCCTTGAAAGCGGCCTGTACCATGAATTGTTAAACGGTCTTATTAATAGAAAACCCGGAGCCAAATATTGGGGTGAAAGCTGAAAGACCAGAGAAGCAGAGCAAGCCAGCCATGTTCTTACCTCTAGGAAGTCCTCAGTCTCAAGACAAAAGGAAAAGTTCCTGTTTCCTCACACCTTATGTACCTTTTTCTGCCCTGCCATCTTACTTCCTGGGATTAAAGGCGTGTGTACTTCCCAAGCAAAGGCAGGAGATCTCAAATGTTGAGATTAAAGGTGTGTGCCACCATGCTTGGCTCTGTTCCCAGTGTGGTCTTGAACTCACAGATATCCGGATGGATCTCTGCCTCCCTAGTGCTAGTGTGCTAGTGGGTGCCACCACTGCCTGACCTCTATGTCTAATCTAGTGGCTGGCTCTGTCCTCTGATCCCCAGATAAGTTTTATTGGGGTGCACAATATATCACCACAGTGGCCTACTTGGCTTTTCTCATGGACATACTCTTATGGTAACAAACATTTTCTTTTTTTCTTGAAAACCCATTAACCTATTAATCCACAAGCCCCTGTAGTCTTTCCGAAGTCTCACCTGAAAGTACCATCGGCACATGACTTTGAGGACTCTGTTTCTGAGACATGAATTCTAGGGGCAGACATTCAGACCAGCCTTGCCTTGCGTGGTCCCATCCAGCCCACTAAGACTATGTGAGTGGATATCAATTATGTGGAATTTCTTGATTTTTTTTAAGTTTTGGTTACTTATTTAACAATTTAAAAATATTATGTGATGCTAGTGAAAGACAGCTTCTGTTCTGGAACAATGCAGAAATCAGTGTGGCCCCTGTGGGGAAGAGAGAGACGTTTTGGGCAGATTTGTTCAGCCAACTTCCAGGTGCTATGTGGGCTTTAGGATCAGAGACTTAAGAGAGCTGAAAGGGAGTTTCAAACAGTCTGGTCCAGGATTGGAATGTGTGGGTTCTGTCTTCTCTCTCGGTGCCCTTCCCTTCTGTGTCTGGACAGAGCTCTGTGACCTTTCTCAGTAGCCACTTCCAATTAGTTAGGGCTGGCATATGACAGCCCTGAGCTCTCAAGTTCAGCTCCTTCCTTATGTCACTGAGGAAAGGGAGGCTCAGAAAGGATCTGTGACTTGGCAAAGAGTAGATCCCAATCCTCCAGCGCCTGGTCTTTTTCTTTTAACCCATTTGTTGCCTACAACCCTGGTTCTTAACTTGGCTCTAAAAGGAGAGAGGCCTTCCTCTTACCTGAAAAACAAAATGAGACTCGCCAAGAAGACTGCTCTACATGGTAACAGGGAATGATGTGCCAGCAGCCTCCTGAGGTTCAAAGGCTGCAGGTGGCTCAGGCTGATCTTGTAACTCACTGTGTAGTCCATGTCGAACTTTTGATCCTCCTGCCTCTACCTCCTGAGTGCTGGGATTACAGATGTGTAACACCATGCTTGGTTCTATAGCCCTTAACTGTCCTGTTGATATTAGCCTGGACATAAAGGTATTTGCAAGCTTTTCTGTAAGCAATGAGCATATTAAATCCAACTTACTATTGAGGCTCCCCTTGTTGTAGCCAAGGATAGAATAGTGGAAAAGGCTTCTTGGTACCAAGTGTGTGAATCTGCATGGTGTTATGGAGTGGCTTTCTCTACAGTACATCTAAACTCAGAGCTCAGAGAAGCTGTAACGAGACTGGTCTAAGATGCCACTGTTAGTAGGTGATGGAGCCAGGACTTGATTCAGGGACTTCGTGGGCCAGCTTTACCTGTTACATGACTTTTCTCTCAACAGTTACAGTCTGGCCAGTGACACCAAAGATGAAGTGGTTGTTTGCCCTTTATTGAAGGATGTGTGGGGAGATGGATTCTGTTTTCTCCATTAGGCAGTGTGGTTTTTCCCTGTTTGTCTGCAGCCTGTCCCTGATACACTGTCCGCATAGAGAGTGGTTGCCCATGGCTGAGGGCCTCTCTGAACCAGAGCAGGGACGAAGCATCGTCTTACAATGCACTCTCAGAAAAATAAACACTCAGTGGGCTCTGAGTCACCCACCGCCTTAGAGTTATATGTTCAGTACACCCTGTTCCCCCATGGTCTTTGGGTAAAGCCTGTCTCCTTGGCCCTCTAGGCTGCATTTCTGCCTGGACTGGGTGTGGGAGATGGTCCCACAAGGAAGAGAAGCAAAGCCTCCATAGAGTCGGATGCTTCTCAGTGGCACATTCCCAGCCTCTACACTGTGCCTGGCTCAGAGAGGCCAAACCAAAACATGCTTCCTAAGACATGGAATTTGTGCACCTGGGCCAAATGGCTTTGGCTTCCACACCTATGATTTGTGTCTTTTATCAAATGTTCCCACCCTATACCCTGGCTATTTTTGTACCAGGAGTAGCCCTATCTTGAGTATACCTGAGGGAGTTCTTTGTGATTGTCTGCAGTTTTGTCATAGACTGCAGGGTAAACACATGAGCTAGACCTTGGACGTTAGTGGTTGAAGCTCCGGTGGGATCCGGGATCTTGGCTTTAGAGATCAAAGGCATGGAGTGGCACTTCCTGTTGACTGTGCCAGATGACTGGAAAGTCTGCTTGGGAGTTTCCTTTCAGGTCTGACATTACTTTCAAAGATTCTTCAACCTCCGCCAAGAGGCGGCTAGTAGGCCAGCTGTGCCGCTGTACAGATGTGCCCAGCAGGAGGCCAGGGTCATCTGGTCAGCATTCCTGTTTGTGAGAAGTGTTTCATTAAATCTCTAGGAAGAAATGTGTATCTGGAAGGGTTCTTAGCGGAATTTTTCACCTGTACATTTTGCCTGCCTAAAAAACATTCTCCCTCATGAGAGAGGAGATTCCTAGTGAGAATTCAAGAACAAGACTGAGATCCAAGCGGAAGCTCTGTCCCTAGAAGCTGCCCCCCTGCTGTATTTGGAGACGGTGGTCACCTAAGACCATCGGAAAACACAGACATTTCATTACAATTCATAACAGCAGCAACATAACAGCTATGAAACATCAACGAAAATAATTTTATGGGTGTGGGTCACTACAGCGTGAGGAACTGTATTACCCCGATATCTTGCTCCAGGTTTTTTTTATTAGGAGATCTACTAGATTTCGTGTTACAGAAGAGGACAGAGAGAAGGCTCAAATTAGAATATCCATGGTCAAGATTTTAAAACAAAACCTTTCCTTCTGTGTGGACCCATCCTACCCAGGCAGTGTTGACTCTTCTAAGTTGAACTTGAAGGAAACCTTATCACTACGGTTACAAAGTCAACTGAAACCAGGGCGGTAAGACCTGGACTCGGAAATGAAGGGTCCAGCCTGAGCTGTGCTCTCCAGTTATAAACGCCAGGTGAATGTCTTTCCCTCTCCGGGACTCCATGTCTGCATCTGCTCAGTGGAGACCCAGCTTCCGCCCTAGCCCCCCATCCCCCCTTGAGCTGTCGTTCTAAGAGGCCTTCTGCGCTTCTGTCTTGGCAGATTCCACCAACGTGGCTTTCACCATCTCAATGCTTTTGGGCAACCTCAGCAGCTGCTGCAACCCCTGGATCTACATGGCCTTCAACAGCCACCTGCTGCCACGTTCCCTGAGTCGCCGGGTCTGCTGCAGGGGTTCCCAGCGCCGGGTGCACAGGCAACTCTCCGATAGCAGCCTGGCTAGCCGCCGCACGACGCTGCTGACCCACTCCAGCGGTCCGTCCACCCTCCGTCTCAGCCTTCACCTCAGCCTCCAGGCAAAGCCCAGGCCTGCAGAGCCACAGAAGGATCTAGAGCAGGGGGATGGAGAAGCCGCCGTGGAGACCAGCATCTTTTAGAGAAGACTCCCTGGAACCCGGCTCCGCACATCTCAACCATTGGGAGTAAGGGCTAAACGGGTCGGTGATGGTACTGAGTGGAGCCTAGTTTGAGGCAGGGTAAAGAGGCCAGAATGGCTGCCGTTACCCTAGGTATCATGACCGCCCCGAGTGTGAGTACTGGCCATTCTCTCTCAATTTAGATTGCTGGAAACCAGGAGAATCGAACTCCCTGTTCCTTCTACATCCACTAGGGCACCCACAAACATGCCCAACTGGTAGATATAGTGTTCTAGATCTAGGACAGGCCTAGATGGTACTATCAACTCAGAGGCTCGTCTCATGACTTGGCTAACTGCCTCCATTCTAATTCATCTGACTGGCACATCTCAGTGCAACCAGGAGAGGAGAGAAGAGATTATTAGAAAGGAGAAGAGGTGTGTGGGACTTCCAGCTGTGCTCACTTGTCTATAGAAATGAGGTGGTCTAATGATGATATGGGACCTGGTACCCAATGGTGGTGTGGGACCTGGTACCCAATTGTGATGTGAGACCTGGTACCAGATGGTAATGTGGGACCTGGTACCTGATGGTGATGTGGGACCTGGTACCTGATGGTAATGTGGGATCTGGGACCTGATGGTGATGTGGGACCTGGTACCTGATGGTAATGTGGGACCTGGTACCTGATGGTGATGTGGGACCTGGTACCCAATGGTGGTGTGAGACCTGGTACCTGATGGTGATGTGCGACATGGTACCAAGTAGGAACATAGTAAATGCTCTTCTCCCACATCATTCCTGCCACCAGATGGGTGGCACTGGGATGCACCATGCATTCTCAGTGGTATGGTCCACTGGGGCTTGATAGGGAGAAAGAGGAAAGGGACGAAGGAATGAAAAGGGTCACAATAAAATTAGGGGAAGGAATAAGCCTAAAAGGCCACAGGGCTAGGGCCTTTCTCCTTGTCTCCTCCAGAGGTCCAGACTTCCTTCCTCTGGGACTGTGCGGAACAGACATCCTTTTTGAAAAAAGCTGACTTGATTATGGCTCTAGAAATTCTTGAAGTTCTAAGAGAAGTTGGAATCAAAGGGTTTATTTTTTGTTTATTTGTTTGGTTTTTTGTTTGTTTGTTTGTTTTTCTAGACAGGGTTTCTCTGTGTAGTTTTGGTGCCTGTCCTAGAGCTCACTCTGTAGCCCAGGCTGGCCTCCAACTCACAGAGATCTGCCTGGCTCTGCCTCCCGAGTGCTGGGATTAAAGATGTGTGCCACTGCTGCCCATCGGAATCAAGGTTTTTAAGTCTCTGCTCTGCCCTGGGAAGTCACCTCCACTTTCCAGGCCTCAGCTTCCTCACTTGTAGTGAGATAGCCTCTAAGGTCTTTCTCAGCTCTAGCCATCTATGACTCTGCAAAATCAGAATTGGGGTAATAGCACAAAAACCACGAAGTGTGTTCTAACCAACAGGCTCTAGAATTGTTCCATTTTTATAACAGTTACATCTATACCTTTACTTCAGTTCTGCTAGGTCCCGCCACACCAGAGCTGGTCCCTTTGACCTCAGTTCTGTATTGTTGAATCCTCTTTCTAAGTAGGAAGAGACAGTGAGGAAAGGTGAAACCTAGGGCCTGGCCCCACTCTTCCTGACTCTCTCCAGGGGAACTAAACTCTTAGAGGAACTTCCCCACCTCAGTTCTGGTACCAAGGGATAGCCAAGGTTGTACAAAAAGCACCACCCTGCAGCAGGTCAGGAGAGCCGGGTCCTGGCTCTGTCCTAGCAGTGACCACGGCCAGTCACATGCTGAGTCAGGCTATCTCAGTCAGACAAAGGGGGTACAAATGTAGCTTGCAGTCACGACTGATCTACAAGCTTCTGAGAACAACCCCAGGGAACAGGCTCACCACCCTCCCCCGATTCCTAGGGAAGCTTTGGAGAGTGATTATGGCTCTGTAAAGACGCTTCTCGTGGGGTTAGGGTTTCTGTCAGCTCGACACAAACTCTGCTCATCTTGGAGGAGGGAACCTCGGTTGAGGAACTGCCTCCATCAGACTGGTCTGTGGGCATTTTCTTGGCTGGTGATTGATGTGGGAAGGCCCAGCCCACTGCAGCCAGTGCTGTCCTTGGGAAAGTTGTCATGGGTCGTAGAAGAAAGAAGGCTGAGCTGAAGACATGCATGCCAGTAACATCACACAGACTGAGCAGTTTGTATTTATGTATTTAGGGAGTACATATGTATATATGTACACATATACATACACTTATAGAACAACAATGATAAAAAGAGGACATAAATTTGAGAGAGAGAAGGAAAGGTTTGGAGGGAGAGGGGAAATGATGTAGTTAAGCTCTAATCTCAAAAAAAGAGAATAAATTACTTTAAAAATTAAAAATAAGAAAGAAAGCAGGCTGACAAGCTATGGGGAGCAAGCCAGTGAGCAGCACCCCTCCACGGCCTCTGCTTCAGTTCCTGCCTCCAGGTTCCTGCCTTGACTTCCCTCAGTGATGGAGTGTGACCTGGGAGTTGTAAGATGAAATAAACACTTTCCTCCCTGGGTTGTTCTTGGTCATGTGTTTATCACAGCCGCTCTGCCCTAAGAAGCCTCCTAGGATTCCTTAGAAGAAAAGAACCCCAGGTGGATGCTGCAACCCCAGGTGGATGCTGCAACCCCAGGTGGATGCTGCAACCCCAGGTGGATGCTGCAACTGGGCAGTACCAACCCTTTGTTTGGTACTAGAGAACTGGAGAACAGCAAACAGACACAAGTGTGTGTGTGGGGGAGCAGTGTTAAAGGTGCAAGGCAGTCAGGAGGGGGTCACCCACCCCCTCTCTGTCCTGTGGCTTCTGTTGCCCAAGGCAGCCCCAGACATCTTTTTTTTTAATAACAAAATTCAACTTTATTTTTTTTTGCAATTGTAACCATCTTTAAGTTCACAATTCAGTGGCATGAATTACGTTCAAGATACTAATTACACTCATGATGTTCATTAATTAATTACTCATGATATTAATTACATTTGTGGTATTCATTGATTACATTCGCAGTATTCATTCAATATTTATGATATTCATTAATTACATTAATTGCATTGATTTATTACATCCATGATACTATGTCCTGATACTACTGTCCGTTTGTGGCAGCCCCAGACACCTAACTACTTCTTCTCTGCCCATCTATCATGTGGATCTGGGCTTGGGACCCACACCCCATCAAGCTGGTTGGAGCAGTTGAAGACATTCCTCACCCCACTACCCAACACCCCATCTTCTGACTGCAGTTTCTGGCTCCAGTGCCTACAGCAGAGAAGGTACTAATCAAGTCCTTCACCACGTGGCTGGAACTCAGCAGGAACCCCAGTTGTGCATCCCAAAGACCCAGGGCTGAGTCTTGCTCTCTTTCTACCCATGTGAACTCAGCAAGTCTCCAATTTCCCCAAACAGTATTGCCGTTATTAATGAGCTAGAAATAGCAAGGTCCCTCTGTTGGGAGAGATTTATAAAGGACTCTCTCCTGATGTCATAGGCGGAGATGATGGTCTGTCTTAGACTGCATTGAGAGGATGACTCCCAAGGCCATGGGCCTGGAGAATCTCTAACAGAGAAGAAAAAGGACCCAGGACCAAGGCTGGCTAACGCCCCTTTCTAGCTCACTCTTTATCTCCATTAGTCCCTGTCTATTCCCGTACTTTCTCTTGTGAATTACACAAGGAAAATTTACTTGTGGGTATCTTTGGGGCCCCAACAGTTCCTCCCATGGAAAGACTGCACTGGATCTTTTCCAGAAAGCAGGTCCTACAATAAGACCAATGTGAAGTGACCCACACATTGGGCCAGGGAGCCCACTCTAAGATGTTCCGGGAACAAAGGTGGATCTGGCCTAAGTCCATGAGCGACAGCCTTTGTAGCACCATTAGGGAGTTCGCATAGACAGTGTGGACCAGTGAGAGGGCCTTGGATGGGTTACAAGCAGGTGGGCCCTGTCAGGAGGGAGCCCAAATCATTTCTGTCCCCTAACACCAGGATAACCTGAATAATGCTGCTTCTATGTTGGGAACATGTATATACAGTTCACGACACCCTGTGCACTGTGAAGCCCAGTACTTCAGTCCCTTAAAACCTACATAGGCAATCTGGGCCTGAGTCCATAGGCTGTAACCTCAGCTCCTCAGGAGGTGGGAGGATTGTAAATATAAGAACTGCCTGGGCTACAGAGTAAATTTAAGGCTAGATTGGATATTTTAGCAAGACCCTGTTTTGAAATAAAAATAAAAATAGCGGGGGGCATAGGTCAGCGGCAGAGGAATCCCTTAGCAAGCAACAGGCAGGCCCTAGGCTTAATCCTCTGACCCCAGCATTGCAAAAATAAACAGAATCCAAAACTCACACAGGCACTGGGAATAGTTGCACACATCTGTAATCCCAGCACTCAGGAGGCAGAGGCAGGATTGAGAGTTCAAGGCCAGCCTAGTCTACATAGATGCAAACCTGTCTTATAAAATAAAACCAGAGCTAGGTGGTGGTGGTAAATGCCTTTAATCCTAGCACTCAGGAGGCAGAGGCAGCGGGATCTCTGTGAGTTTGAGGCCAGCCTGGTCTATGGGGTGAGTTCCAGGACAGCCAGGGCTACACAGAGAAGCTCTGTCTCAAATAACCAAACAAACAAACAAACAAGCCATGTAGGAATAGGACACCGGGTACAGACAGGGCAGGAAGGATAGTGGTGTGTGGGAGGCTGACAGGTTAACTGTAGGAATTCCTTCAGGTTGGATTTTTTTTTTCTCGAGATAGGGTTTCCCTGTGTAGCTTTGCGCCTTTCCTGGAACTCACTTGGTAGCCCAGGCTGGCCTTGAACTCAGGGAGATCCACCTGGCTCTGCCTCCTGAGTGCTGGGATTAAAGGTGTGCGCCGCCGCTGCTGCCGCCGCCGCCGCCGCCGCCGCCACCACCACCACCACCCCACCAGGTTGGATTTTGAAGCTATTTGGTACCAGCAATTCATTTCCCAGGTGGATGTCCTTGTGTTATATAAATAGGCCTTTGGTCTAAAATAGCTATTAACTCAGCCCAGGCTGCCCGTGGTTCCCTTTTGGATCCAGAGCTCTAAAGTCCTGGTTGAAATTAACCAATACAACTCTTTAATATCCAGGAAAATCCCATGCATATTTATTCTTATGAACAATAATAATGGGCTTCACAAGGTAAAATTAAAACATGATTTATTGAGCAAGCAGCGTAGGAGTTGGTGGGCAGAGAGAAATGATTAGGGTCTCTTGCCCCCTGCAAACAGGAAAACTGCGTCTGCAAACACAAGGTGGCAGTGTGGAGCTGAAGGAGCAGGTCCTGTGGCCCTGGGTTGGACTGGGCAGCCCTTGCCTTAAGAACCAGGTTAAATGAAGGAAGTCCCTTCTCTAGGCAAACATTGCTGAGATCCAGTGTGTATACACACACACACACACACACACACACACACACACACACACACACACACACACTCGCCATCCCTCCCTACCCTTGCCCAGGACAGCCTAAAGCAACAATGAGCCCCAGGGGCAGACTGAGAGAGCCAGCCTTGAGAGTGTGGGCTCCTCATTTGCCTGGGTTCTCTTGTGATGCCAGACTCAGGGCTTCCTTCTAAGGTCACGAGGGTGCATCTGACAACCACAAAGCCTAAGAGCTGTAGGAGGATTAAGAAAGACATGCATAGGACTGTTTGAGGGAGTAGGGTACCTCAGAAGGAAAGAAGGAAACGGGGGGGGGGGAGAGAGGAAGGAAAGAAGGAAAGGAAAGGAAAGGAAAGGAAAAAGGAAAAAGGAAAAAGGAAAGGGAAAGGAAAGGAAGGAAAAAAAAAAGAAAAAACCAGAAAGGGCAATGTTACTGCTGCCCTCTGATCTTGCTGAGTCCAGAAATCCATATTTGCAAATCCCTGCTGATATTGAGTCTAAAATACCTCTGGGTCCAGTTCACTAATGAGATGAACTTGGATTTCTGCTGTAGCTTCGAGGTGGCATTGGAATGGTTGCTCCTTTAGAACAAGAATTCATGAGGCAGGGTCCTGTTTGCTGTGGTCTGTATTTCTAGCTTGTAAACACACAATCATCTGCTGGCTGCTTAAGCAAATCAATTTCTCTGCATCTTA